TCACAGCTCACAGCAACCTCCAACTCCTGGGCTCAAGCGAGTCTCCTGCCTCCGCCTCCCAAGTAGCTGGGACTATAGGTGCCCGCCACAGCACCGGCCATTTTTTGGTTGCAGCCATCATTGATATTTGGCGGGCCCAGGCTGGGGATTCGAACCCGCCACCTTAGGTGTATGTGGCTGGCGCCTTAGCCGCTTGAGCCACAGGCGCCGAGCCCACTCAGCTGCATTTCCATTCTCTTGCCCCTTCTCCCTCTTCTTCCCTGACCACTCAGGCCCCACCCCACCCGGAGTGCAGGCAGGCAGGAGCCACTCCAGTTGTGAGGATGGAATGTGACTTGAGGCTGACCTGCGGCCTAGGCAGCTGCTGGGACGTGAGTCAGAGTGGATGGACTGTGGAGAGCCCCATCTGGGGATCTGGCCACAGATGGCCTTGGGCACTGAATGTGGCATTGGAAAAGAGTCCAGTTAGGACATATTGAGCTTGAGGTGCTACAGACACCTCAAGGAGAAGGCCAGGTGATCTGCACAGAAACAGAAGCCATAAGTCCCAGAGGAGAGCAGCAGAGCAGCCTGGGTGAGCTGGCAGTGCCAACAGTGGGCAGTGAGGGCTGTGCCACCAGAGGAGAGGGAGGTAGGGAGGGCAGAGGGACGAGGGCACTGCGGGGCACCCCAGAGATTAGGCCCCCTTGGAAGGACAAAGGGCCCTCATGTGATAAGCACACCCCCTTCTCCAGAAAGGCTGGAAACATCCCAACACCTTGAGATCCTCTGCCCTTCATGTGATAAGCACACCCTCTTCTCCAGAAAGGCTGGAAACATCCCAATGCCCTGAGATCCAAGAGGACTTGGGACAGAACGGGGGCAGGTACCTCGAGCGCCTTCATGTAGGGACCAACATCCAGCATCAGGCCGGAGGTCTCCTTGTAATAGCGTCTAGAAAAAAGCAGAAGGGGAAATGGGAGGCTGAGCCCAGGGGCCTAGTCCTGCTGTCTCCAGAGAGCGAGCCAGGGCTGAGGGGCAGTTCAGAGGCCTTGCTGAGAATGACCGATGGGGCCAGCTCAGTGGCATGAGCACACAGTGGCCAGCAGCTTCAGGGACGCCATGGCGTGGATAGTCTGAACAGGCCCCCGCTGCCAGCCTCAGGGGGACTCCACTGCAATGATTAACAGGGCATCCTAGGGGCAGATGGTTCCAGTTGCTCACACAGAGAAAGACAAGTGACCTGTGTTCTGGGAAGGAACAGCAGGTCCACAGAACATGTGGCAGACCCCTAATTGCTAATAATTAACCCCTGATTGCTGCCTGAAGAAGAGGGCTTCATTAGTTCCACAGCCCCCTGCTCCATCCCTATTAGCCGGGGGTCAAGTGTGGTGCCAGGCTTCTTGGGCGCCAGATGCTTTTGTGAGAAGACAGCTATTTCTCCCCCATCTCATGGAGGTCAGCACAGGCTCAGCTCACAGAAGCATTCCTTTCTCAAGACAGTCTCTTGCTCTTGTGAGTGTCCAATGCCTGGACTTCCCTACGCCTGTCACACAGAGCCTCAAGGCGCCTGCAGTCAGACACATGGGGACCAAGCCCAGTTCTCTCTGAGCAAAACCATCTGACCACAGAGGGGAAAAGGGAGTTTAGTGAGGCGCCTGTGGCTAGTGGGTAGGGTGCTAGCCCCATGTACCGAGGGTGGTGGGTTTGAACCCGTCCTGGACAAATTGAAACAACAAAAAAATAGCCTGGCGTTGTGGCAGGTGCCTGTAGTCCCAGCCACTTGGGAGGCTGAGGCAAGAGAATCGCCTAAGCCCAGGAGCTGGAGGTTGTGAGCTGTGACGCCACAGCACACTACCAAAGGCAATAAAGTGAGACTCTGTCTCTAAAAAAAAAAAGGAGAGTTTAACCTGTACTACCCTGAAGACAGGATTCACTAAAGCCCAAGAACAAAAACAGGGAGTTGCTCTCAGAATCACTGAAAAGCACTGCCATCCATCACGTCAGTTTCCCTTTTCCTCGTGCCATGCCCTTCAGATCTGGGGACACTGGAAAAGCACGGATGCAGAGAACCTGGGGGAAGAACAGAAGGCACGCCGGCTTCAGCATTCACATCCTCTCTCTGTCTTCTAACAAGTCTGGGCGGCTTAAGCCTTGTGGGCCTCGGTTTCCTGATCTGTACAATGGGCAAAATGAACAATAAACCAGACCTGCCTGGTGAGTTGTTGAGAAGCTTGAACAAAGTAACACATCCAAAGCTCTTAAAATGATGCCTTGCATGCAGAAACTGCTTTAAAAAGATTAATAACTCTTCATCCAGGCTGAGATATAGACAATAGAATAAGAGGTGGTGGAAGAAAAAATAAACACAGATCTTTCCACCTTTGGTAGGGGCTCAGACTCTCTGTCCCCACCTGAAGTGTCAGAACTGAGCCCCTGGAGCCGCTGCAGGGCCGCCCTTCCTCTAGCTTTGCCACCCTGAGGGCCCTACCTGTCCTTTCCATTTCTCCTCATGCCTTGAAGCTGCAGGAGCTGCACTGCCCACCCAGCTGCTCGGGAGGGATCGGCCACTCACCCCAGTGCATTTCCTACCGCCCCTCAGCAACCTCCAGGCTGGACACAGGCTGGGCTGCGGGGCTTTGGCCAAACTTTGGCCTTGCCAAGTGCTGGTTTCCCGCCACTCTCCCCTTTGGGGGCCTTCAGAGTCTGGAATGTATTTGTTGAAGGACTGGGCATCGCCTGTGGTGACAGGACTGGGCGGCCTCTGAATGAACCCCAGGCCTGTCCCCAAGCCTCTGAGCTCTGTGCTGTAGGGCCAGGCCACAGGACACAGGCCATCTGGGACACTGCCCATGCTCACAAACTCCAAAGCACAGGCTTAGATATCCCCAATTTCATGTCTAAATCCAGAATCTAGACCTGTATTTTGCATTTATATACTCTCAAAAACATGTGTCCTTTTTTTCCCCATTTCAACAAAAAACTCCTTTGGTACAGTGATTTCCTCAGCCAGGTCTAGAGTTTTATGGAAATATGAGTAAAGTGCAACAAGTTGGGCCAAGAGGGAGAGGGAGACCCCAGGTCCTGAGCCCTGCAAAGGTTGGTGTGAACTTGGTCCCCCATGGACACTGACAGACACAGCTGCTCCATGGGCCGTCTGCTGGATTTGGGGATACTCCTAGACCCAGGCTGCTCCCCAGGGACTCAGAGTCTAATGGGGTGACTACAAGCATACACAGGTGACAATAACGGACACCTGTGCTCTGCAGCACGCTGCTTGAGTAGGGCGGGGACATGCTGGGGACAGGGAGACAGAACAGGTGTCCCACAGGAGGAAACACAAAGCTGTGACCTGAAGGGTAAGGAGGTGACCCAGCTACAAGGAAGGGGAAGGAGAGCCTCAGCGTCCAGGCCCAGGGAGTCTCTCACAACCACCTGGAGCTTCCTGCTGAGGCCCACACTGGGCCACACCCCTCTAGGCAAGGCCTCCCACAGGCCTTCAGAGACCATGACCTCATCTCCTGGGGCCTGCTGTGGAAGGGACAGAAGGAGGGCACCAGGGAGCCAGGGAGGGCCCGAAGGACATGCTGCATAGCCCAGGATGGAAGACAGGTGAAGGGAGAACGTTCCTAGCCTAGGAAATGCTTACCCAGAAACAAAAGAAAAACTTAATAAAACAAAACCACTCTCTTCCACAAGGTATGGATCTATTTGGAGCTGAGGATTCTGGGGGCTTCTGTGCCCAGACTCCTGTCCCTCAGCTGCCCCGAGTAGACTCAGAGCAAGTGCCTCTCATTGGAAAATCCTCCCGAGGAGGCCATGGGCCCCTCTTCTGCTGGCCTTCTGTTCCCCGGAGTCTCTTCTAAAATACAAGAAACCTAGACTGCCTCACATTTATATTTAGTCCTGAATGGAAGGGAAAAAACTGAATGCACAACTTAAAATACACAATTAAAACCTTGTCTTTGCTGTGTTAATCTTCAGGTCCAAAGATAACACTGACTTCCAGAAATCAAACTTAGAAACTTTAGTCTTTCTTTCTTTTTTTTTTTTTTTTGAGATAGAGCCTCAAGCTGTCCCCCTGGGCAGAGTGCCGTGGCATTACAGCTCACAGCAACCTCCAACTCCTGGGCTCA